TGCTTTAAATCAGTTGTTTCCAAACGGTGCGGCACGCCTCATAGGTGCGGCGGAAGAGGATAGTAGGTGAGGCGGAAGAGGATAGCAGGTGAGGCAGAAGAGGATAGCAGGTGAGGCCTAATGATTGAAAGACAATCAAAGATTTAGAAACAGTTCCAAAAAATTCATATGCCAAAAATAAATATTATTTCAGAATTTAAAATATTATGGTTGACTTTTAATTGCATGCATGAGTCTCAATCTAAATAGTTATAATTGTAGAATAACAATAATAAACAGCACTTACCGGCGTAAAGGTCCCAGCTAGCGTCCAGCTGACAGGAAAAAATAAAGCAGGTTGTAACTTAATACAAACCCTGCAAGCTAACTGATGAATCAAGCTGGTATTTATATAGAAATACCTCCACTCAGGTACCAGCAGCCAATCACAGCCAATCACAGCCCAAGCAATGGACTATCTCACTTTAGCACAATGAGATGCTCCATGGCACCATAAATAGCTCTCTTTCTAAAGGTTGAATTATTATTCACCCAGCTTGCTCCACAACTGAGTGTTTATCTCGACCACGTGATTTTTCTACGATAATTAATTATTGACCAATGTTATCATTGTCATATTATTGCATTATATCAAGTCTTAAGAATATAGTAACTAGGATCGATAAAAATGGAGGAGAGAGTTATCAATGATAATGTTCTGACTTCGAATCTGCAGTTATCTCCCTTTAATCCTCTGGGTTTCATTTATTAATTTATATCCACCGTCTATTTAGATTAGATTAGATTTAGTTAAACCAGTGGTTCCCAAACGATGTGGTGTATCTCATAGGTGTAGTGGAAGAGGATAGCAGGTGAGGCGGAGTGATTGAAAGATAATCGAAGATTTAGAAAGAGTTTCCAAAAATTCATATGCTAAAAATATATATGATTTCAAAATTTAATATATTATTATGGATTACTTGTAATTGCATGCATGAGACCCAGTATAAATAGTTATAAATAATTATTGACTGGTTTTACCACTGTGATATTTTTGAATTATATTAAATATTAAGAATATAATAAATAGGGCCCGCAAATTGGAGGAGAGAGTTATCAATGATAATGTTCTGACTTGGAATCCACAGTTATCTCCCTTTAACACTCTCTCTCTCTCTCTTTTAATGTACTTTTTATCACATAAAATTTGGTTAGGTGCGATCAAATAATTCATTCTGAAAATGCGGCCCAGAGAAAAAAAAATGGGGGAATCACTGCTGCAGATGATAGACAGTGATAATTATTTTGGTCTTTTTCTTCTTAAATATTAACAATCTTCACGCGACGTTTACAATTCGAAGAAATAAGAGTAAACCAGTAAACAAAAATTCACCTCCTCCCCCTCGAACTTTCTTTTGCCAATATTCGTGGTACTTGTGTCAATGTTTCTCTTGAAACGTTCTGCAGATGTCTTAGCGCTTTGCCAAACTAATTTAAACTCTTCTGTTGCTACCAATGAATTCCCTGTTCCAGACCATCTTCCTCTTAGCCGAAAAGATTCTAGAATACATATGCATGACCTCAATGTATACATCCGGAAAAATCACAAGGCAATCGTCTCTTAGGTTATCGGGTGAAACTATGATATGCTTTCGACATTCTTTATTGCATTCTGTTAGCTATCTCTTTTTTTTTTTTTGCTTAATTCGCTCCCCTTCTTCTCAGGACTGTAACATTAATATTTATATGACAAAATATCTGGCCGTATAGAAACTTCTCTTTCTCAAACTCTCTCTCTCTCTCTCTCTCTCTCTCTCTCTCTCTATTGGCTCCTGAAAAATTAATTTCAGTTGAGCTCTCTGGGGAGGAGATGTGGGTTGGTATACAGTGACTATTGTAGCTATATAGCGAGACTCTTCGCTAATGCGAATTGAGTCACTCCCGGTCACTGGGCGTGTTTATAAAGATAAATACGCTAAAAATCCATTTTCGTCCCTACCGTGCGCCGATTGCTTAATGGTTAGAATCTCCGACTGACACCAGTTCAGTCGGGTTTCGACCCTAGCTGGAGGCAACTGGATGTCTAGCCACACTGATGAGCTGCGAAACAGTCTGTCTGTGGATGACGGTATATATATTTTCATCTGCGAAGATTTTATTTCGTGGTTTTAATGCTCATGTCTTGTTGATTAAGCGTTCTAATGTTAATGGTGTTGCTGCTATTCAGTCTTTGCGCTTGTTAGTCTCTCAGTCAAATAGTGTATTTCTTTACTCGTTTCTCTAATAATTGTGATCAACACGCTTCTTTATTTGATTAGTCCCTTACTTCATAACTTGGTTCTTCTCAAACATCGCAACTCTGTCCTCTTGCCAATTCTGTTCATTGTTGGCTCGTCTATTAGACACAAACCCATTCACACGACTTACTAGAACTCCCTTTTCCTTTCGTCGCGCATCGGCGTTAAATTTCTTTCTATTAAGAATTATGCCATTGAATTTTCTTCTTGGTTTGAAAAAAAAATCTGGCATCGATGCTTTTGTGCATTCTCGTAAATTCAAGGTAAAACCACAATCTTCTTGCTTCACACCTGTCTATTCACCCCCTATAGCCGATAGAAATCACTTTTTTCCGACTGTACAACCGTGGTAGTTGCGATCACTATAGACGCCTCTGTGTCTGCTAGTATGGTGAGTGTTCAGATGAACGACACGCCTTAGTTCCACCATTCCTAACTTTCACGGCCAAGACCCGCCATGCCACAGACACTGTAGCAAACCATCCTCATTCCCTTCACATCCTCTGATGAAATGTAAGTCCCACTCAAGCAGCTTCTTCCCACAAATGGACTCCCAAAAGGCTGCTTCCTCGTTTACTGCAATCTTAACCTGTTCAAGTCTAGAGTTAACTGCTATCTTCCGTGCATATTAGCATAGGCTGTACCTCTTACTCTGTAACACTCTACATCGAGTTGTCCCAGGGCCGTGTACAGAATGTACACCACTGTAAAAAATATGTAAACGTGTCCTCAAAGACGTTAAGTCCTTCTGTAGACTGAAATAGGCACTTTTATTATAACCTTTACTCATAACCTTTTATATAACCGTTACTCACAACCTTCTATCACAACCTTTACTCACAGCCCTTACTCACAAGCTTTTATCATTGCCTTTACTCACAACATTTTATCATTGACTTTTATTATAATCTTTACTAACAACCTTTTATTATAACCTTTACTCACAACTTTTTATCAACATTTACTAACATCCTTTTATCATAGCCTGTATTATAATCTTTCATAGCAACCTTTTATCACAACCTTTACACTCAATCTTTTATTAAAACCTTTACTCACAACCTGTTATGACAAGCTTTACTCACAAGCTTTACTCACAATCTTTTATCATAGCCTTTTATTATAATCTTTACTAAGAACCATTTATTATAACATTTATTCACAACGTTTTACCACAACCTTTACTCACAACCTTTTATCATAATTTTTTATTATAATCTTTACTAGCAACCTTTTACCACAAGTTTACTCACAACCTTTTATAACAACCTTTACTCACGAGTTTTTATTATAAACTTTACTCACAACATTTTATCACAACCTTTACTAATAACCTTTTATCACAACCTTTACGAACGACCTTTTATTACAACTTTTACTTGCAACCTTTTATCACAGCCTTTACTCACAACTTTTTATCATTGCCTTTTATTATAATCTTTACTAACAACCTTTTACTGCAACCTTTACTCACAACCCTTACTCACAAACTTTAATCATAGCCTTTTTATATAATCTTTACTAACAACGTTTTATGACCACCTTTACTCACAACCTTTTATCATAGCTTTTTTATTATAATCTTTACTAACCTTTTATTATAACCTTTATTCACAAGGTTTTATCGCAACCTTTTATTTTATTACAACCTTTTCTTACAACATTTTAACACAGCCTTTGCTAACAAGCTGTTATCACAACATTTACTAACAATATTTTATTACAACCTTTAGACACAACCATTTATAACAACCTTTACTCACAACCTTTACTCACACCTTTTATGATAGCCTTTTCTTATAATCTTTACTAGCTTTTTATTATAAGCTTTATTCAAAAGGTTTTATCGCAACCTTTAGTCACAACATTTTATCATGACATTTTCTCACAACCTTCACTCACATCGTTTTATCACAACCTTTACACACAAAATTTTATCACAACCTTTACTTACAACATTTTAACACAACCTCTACTAAAAACCTTTTATCACAACACTTACTAACAACATTTTATTGTAACCTTTACTCACAACATTTTATCACAATCTTTCCTAATAACCTTTGATCACAATACTTACCTTTTTTCACAACACCTTACTCACAATTTTTTATTACAACCTTTACAAACAACCTTTTGTCACAACCTTTACTAACAACCTTTTATCACAACCATTGCTCACAATCTTTTATCACAACCTTTACTCACAACCTTTTATTGCTACCTTTACTCATGACCTTTTGTCACAACCTTTACTCGCAATCTTTTATTACAACCTTTACTCACAACCTTTTATTCCAACCTTTACTCACAACCTTTTATTCCAACTTCTCCTCACAATCTTTTATCGCAACCTGTTCAAGTCTAAGGTTAAGCGCTCTCTGATAAATATATTTAGTTTTTTGATAAATATATTTAGTTTTCTGATAAATATATTTAGTTTTCTGATAAATATATTTAGTTTTTCAATATTTGTTTTTAATTTCCCACCACACCACACAAAAGAAAATTAAGTATGGCTGCCACGTGATGAAAGTCTCACGCTAGGCATATCAGCATACGCTGCACCTCTTACTCTGTAACCCTCTACCTCGAGTGGCTCCAGGCCTTATAGCAAAAGCTATTTCATGATGCAAATGTTTACTCCGAAGACTTTAACGTACAAATTCTCTTCTCTTAATCAGCGACACTTATGTGGAGTTTCATCCCATACTCGAATTATCCATGCAGACCGTTACGGATATAAAGGCATATACGCTTCGTCTTTTACATTACATACTTTCCTGTGATTTTCTTTATCCTTTATTTTTCTCTTCTACCCTTTCCCGTCCAAACATGTTCGGCCAAGTCTAATCTTGATGCTTCATCGCGAATTATTGCTTTCCCACGTTATCCAAATCTATTCCTTTGGGAACAACAGTTTTCATTTTTATATCTCCTGACATTACTGAATGAGATATGTAATGACCAAAAATTTTGTTCTGTTTTGTTCTGCTATAAGAGCTGTCATATTAACTGCGATGTTGTGTTGGCCAAAAGGTTTATTCTCTCTTTATAATTAGATGGCATTAGCAGCGTTTAGTTTTAACTACAATTTTTTCAAATCGTTTTTTATTGTTTTTGATAGTTGCCACATTAGCTTTGACGCTCATTTATGCTGACCAAGACGTTTGTTCGCGTTTTTATCGTTTGGTGGCATTAGGAGCGTTTAGTCTTAAAAAATTAAAAAGAAAAACATATTTTGGGATGTGTTATGAGAGATGTCGTATTAATTCAGATTTGTATTAAGTTGGCTAAAATGTTTGTTCTATTTTTTCTGTTATGTGGCATTAGCAGCGTTTAGTTTAAAAAAATAATTTATAGAACCGTTTTTTATTGTCATTTCAGCATTAAATTCCAGTGTTAAAATCGGTTTGTTTTTCTTGTTTTGCATTGAAGATGGAGAAAAAGAAACAATATTTTTAAGATATTACGTATTTTTTTAACAAATCCAAAAATCTGATCTCTTTCGATGTGCTTTGGTACTTCAGGATATGCGGTCGATAATGGCTCTCTACAACTTCCTGTCCTTTACAGTACTTAGTTGTTATGGTAAAACACACCTATTCTATAGTTAATAGACTCTCCCACCTAATATAAGTAGGAGTAGTAAGAGAAACGAGGGTCAGTCGATGTCGGACGACAGTAGTCGAATACGAAAGTAGTCAGCGATCCCAACAAGATTACTCTGCGTAATACCTATTATATCAAGTTCCTAACGTTTTGTACGTCGAACCTATTTAGGACTGATTTAGTACAAATACAAGCTTCCATTGCTAAATAACTCCACAACATTAGTAAGATTTGACATTTTGCTGTCTCTCCTAATCTCTGTTCTGCCAACTATTTGTACAAGCTCGTTAGGTAGTGTTGCAGCATACCTATGGATAATAAAGGGCATCTTCTCATTCACATAAATACGGTAGTAAATACTGTATGTCGGAGATTCGTCTCCAGCTGTGCTGGTAAAACTCGCTGCCTTCGGGCAGAGAGGATACGCAGACAAGGCTATGTCGGAGGGCAGAGCTTTGTCTCGGGGAAAGGGCTATCCGAGATATACAGGGTCTACGGGGAATGTTTATATATATTTATTTATTTTTATTTTGAAAAATAATGCTATATAAAAAATCAGAACTCATCTGAATTTTTTTCTATGTTAATGGAAACCGAAAAGAATAAATAAAAATATATAAAATAAAAACAAATAAGAAAAATAAATTAATCCGAATAAATAAACAATATACAAATTAATAAACCACTCCCGCCAAATTAACCGTTATAATAGACTACCCATAATGCACCACTGACCCTTATATAGAAATAGTCGAGAAAAAATTCAACACATGTGGTCTGGTGATTGCGTTTAGCATGAAACAGACTGTCGCCTCTGAGTGCTGACTTCAATGTTCACTTTTATATTTACATACTCTCTATCTCTGATATTGAGCACTTTATCCCATAAATATAGCATACCGTAAACCTGTAAGTCTTATATAGATAGATAGATAGATAGATAGATAGATAGATAGATAGATAAAATAAAATAAAATAAAATAAAATGGGCGATTTGAATAAACATAATTAATTCATCAAGTCTAAAAGAATCCTCAACAGAATGCACTAATCGGCCGTTTCGTCCTATTTTTGGACTCATCAGCAGTGCGCATCCACTACCGAGAATCGAACCCACACCGTTACGATAAGATGCAAGCGTCATAATCACTGAACCAACGGGCACATGGCTAGGGGGGGGGTACAGTCCATTGGTATAAGTAAACGACGGATGAGTCACACGACGAAATTTGTGAAGAGCTAGCGCTATATCGAGTCAGGTTTGTTACCTCTCCGTCATCGAGAACCGTTGGTCCAGTGGGTACGACGCTAATGTTCTCTAACACTCTGTTTTTCACTCACGCTACTATTCTGAAAACGCATTAATATATTGCCAACATTTAATCTTAAAAGCAAAAAGTATTTAATATATATTTTTGTCGATTTGTGTGCGTTTTACTTCTTTTTCCTTGTCTTAGAAGAGCTCCATTTATAGTATTGTATTTATTAAAAGGTTTCAGTGTTTGCAATATATCCAAATAAAGGGTGCGCCCCGTCTCGTAAAACCCGGTAACTAATGGCGTGTGAAAATGTCAAAAACTACTGTGAAAATTTTGTAGACAACTCAAAAATATTTGTAAGCACATGGGAAATGTTACCGAGGTTTTATTGATTTTTAAAAATATCTGCTAATCATAGAATGACACAACAGCCAATAGAGAAAGATTTGATAATGACAGACGATAAAATTAGCGATGGCTGAACAAAAACGAAAACGAGGCAAAGAGAAGAACACAAACCTATTTGGAATTATGTTAAATTAATGATTAAAAGGATTAGAGCCAGAAGGTGGACTTACAAAACCATTATATATAAAATATATACATTTCTTCTTTTTCAATATATCCAATTCTTCTTTTTCAATATTTCCAATTTCTCTTTTACAATATATCCAATTTCTCTTTGTCAATATATACAAATATCCAATTCCTCTTTATATATACAATATATCCAATTCTTCCATTTTCAACATATCCAATTCCTCTTTTTCAATATATCTAATTTCTCTTTTACAATATATCCAATTCCTCTTTTTCAATGTGCTATGTCCCTTCTGGACGTTGATGAT